ACACACACACACACAAAGAGAGAGAGAAACACAGAGAGAGAGAGAGAGAGAGAGAGAGAGAGAGAGAGGGAGAGAGAGAAATCAACCAAGAAGGTGCTTTTCTTTTTCGGGCCAGGTAACTTGAAGTCTGCAAAGCAGCTTTCATCTCTCCTCCTAATGTTTCCCTTTCTGTGCTGCTAGCATCAGTCCCACCAGCAAGCCTCAACAGATTTCATTGGAGTCTAAAGGAAAAAAATGCTTTGAACGCTGGTAATACTCTTATTTAAAAAAAAACCCAAAAACTTATGCTTATGGGGGTTTGGTCTGTTTTTTTGCCCCCTCCGAACGACAGGAAATGAGATCGTATTTATTTAATAGAGTACAATTTAATTGTCGATAATGCATTGTTCGGACAAGCAGCTCTCAGCCCTGATGAGAACAAAATACGTGTAATGTTTCCATCACAGAGATAGAGACAGACTAGTCTGATGGTTTGGGAGCCGAACAAGGAAATCTTATCTAAGCCGTCTCTTGCCCAGCACATACACTCCCTTACAGCCCACTCCCGGCACGGATTGTATGTAAAATAAGTATCCTCTTCATCAACAGTAGTCCTATAGCTTTCCCCTTCCTCTCCCAAGATCCCCCTTTCCTGGCTTGATGGCATAATACCATAACTAAAGAGCAAGCAGGGTATTTTTTCCCCCCCAGATGCAACAAGATCAGAGCGAGTAAGCGAGAGAGAGAAATGATACAGCCCCCACAGTAAGAGCAGCCTGTGATGCTGAGGGCTTCCTCCTTCTCTGAACTGCTTTTATGATCAATGTCATCATCGCCGTCGTGTTTAATAGAATAATAAAGCCAGCGCACCTTGGGTCCCCCCCCCACCTCCAATAAAAGGCAGTTTTCCGGGTGATGATGGAGATTAAAACACGACAGCGATTGATCGTAAGGCTTTGCAAAGGAAAAGGGAGGTGGGGGGGGGAAATCATCATCATCGCTCCTAAAAATGCAATCGCTCCCCTTTGCTCACTTGGCACAATAGAAATTGACTCTCTCTCTCCAATAGCCATGCGCCTAATGCTATTTATAGCCAGGGGCTGGGTTGGAAGGTACCATTGAGCTTCTCCCAGGCAGGCAGAGGGGGGGGATGTATGTGGGTGGGGGGGGTTGGCTGGATGGGAGGAGGGGGGTTAGCCAGGGTAGTGGCAAAAGCAGACCCCCCTCCACCCCCCCCAGTCCCTACCCTGCTCATCCACACGCGCACCACCCCCTAGTCTGGCTGGGAATTTGAACCGCTCCAGCCTGTTTAAACGGAAAGGACACAGATCCTCAATGTAATAAAAAAAAAAGAAAAAAAAAAAGCCAGCCCAGAGCCAGGGAGCGAGGCAGAGAGGGAGGAGTGTGTGTGTGAGTGTGTATGTGTGTGCGTGTGAACGCGGGAGAGAGAGCGAGAGAAGAGAAGCGAGGGTGGGGGGAAAAGGGAAAGAAGATTTTCTCTATGTATATAAAGATGGCCACGTTAGCAAACGGACAAGCAGACAATACCGCCCTGAGTAGCAATCACACCAACCCCAGCACCAACGGGCACATGAACGGATTAACCCACAGTCCCGGAAACCCAGCCACCATCCCCATGAAGGACCACGATGCCATTAAGCTCTTCATTGGGCAGATCCCCCGCAACTTGGACGAGAAGGACCTCAAACCGCTCTTCGAGGAGTTCGGGAAGATCTACGAACTGACGGTGCTGAAGGACAGGTTCACTGGCATGCACAAAGGTGAGCTCCCCTCCAACTTTCCCGGGAGAGCCGGGGAGTTTGGGGGGCGCGGTGGGGCTGCCAGATCCTAGAAAGCGAAGCAGAGAGAGAGAGAGGGGAAAAGGGGGGCGAGGGGACACACACACACACACACACACACACACACACACACACACACACATCGCACGCGGTTTATTTATTTTTTTGTTAATGTCTTGCCATGCTTTTGCTTTCCGCGGCGATGCAATCACGGGCGCCCGCCGGGGTTGGCCAAAGGCGGCTGTCCACAGACGGGTGGTGCTGAAAAGACGGAGAGGGGCTTCTTTATTTCTCTTTCGTAGCGGCACATTTCCACACAAGGAGGGGTGTATTTTACAGCGATTCCCGGGGAGAGATCCGGGATCTTAAAATAAAGGGATGGGGGAGGTTGAGTTCCTTTTTTTTTAAGGGTGGGAGAAAAAAAACCCAATCAAAGACATCGCAGGCAGGGTCCTAGACAATTGCAAAGTAGATAGCATCGGGGCTCATTCAAAAGGAAGGACTATTCTAGCATCCCGAGCAAACATAGCATGCACACACAGAGACACTTTCCTTAGCGTGGATGGTCAATTCTCCGGGCGTGCTGGAAGAGATCAGGAACTTTGGGGGGTTTATTTGAATGCTCTGGAGCCGCGTTCATGTAGGGTTTTCTTCCGACCTCCTCCCCCCCGGTCTTAGTTGTAGCGGCGGAGTGGGGACTGCAAATGTTTCGTCCTCGGGGCTGTGATGTTCGGATGTGTAGTTGAGATGAGCAGGAGTTTAGTGCTTGCCACCAGATTGATCGCCAGGCATGAAAGTAGGACTAAACTGAGTAACTTGGAGGTAATTTACATAGGAGACCCGCTTACAAACAGGATGCGTTGGTAGCCCAAATGAACGACCTTCTTAACTCCTGATATTATTATTATATTTTATTGTTATTCATAATTATTATTCTTATTAATTATTATTTTAGTTTATGGAGTATTGCTTTGAAAAGAGGACACAGCCTCGATCAAACAGAGCACAAATGCGACTGTGTGGTCACTTTAGATCCAGGGCTGGGGGGGAGTCAGATTTATGAAATTAAGGTTTAAATATCAACTTCTGTTAACCCAGCAGACTCCCAGTGGACAGGGTCCCAGAGAACAATTTCATTGGGTTCATATCTATTCAGCTTGCTTGATGAGTTGTAAATCTTAAAGTTAACGGCACGTTTAGCAGTCAGCTCCCCCCCCCCCCCCACTCCCCACCCCGGCAAAGAATGCAAATATAATCCTATGTCCAAGAAAACAATATCTAGAGCAAAGAGACCGAGGCGGGCATATAAATTACAGGGCATTTTCCCTCTCCCCGGATAATCAGTATAACCTAGGAGCTGTTTCACCTTTCAGTCAAGCTTCCTAGAAACCACATCAAGGTTAGTGTTTGATGTTTATCCTTTAAACAAGTCGTCGATAAAAATAAGCACCGGGAAGGCGAGGTCCTAGGAGATTGTTTCTAGCAGATGAGGGGTAGTTCCAGTGGGCGGTGGGTGTGAATGATGCGGGGTTCTTTCTTAAGAAAGAGGAAACAATAATAATGAATAATACAAACTTTAGCACGTAGCTTCGCCTGGATGCAAAATCCAGGCTACCCGGGCAGGTGGAGATGGGATCTGGCTAGAGGTTTCTTCTTGTATTTAGTCTGTAATTATTTCTAGCTCTGGGCAAACTTTAATGCCTTTCTATTTTATAGAATATGTATCTCACCCTGTAGCTCATACATTGTCCGCAGAGATATGTGTTTGTGTGCACACGCATAGAGCGAGCGAGCACTTCTCTTGCTGCCTGAATAATGTTGAGCAAATATTCCCGAAATAAGCAAGCCGCCAGACTTCATTTTCCTCCAACTCTATCTAAAGCTGCCACCTAGGGTGGGGGGATCGGTCAGGGTGGATCAGACCAGGCTGCTCTAGAAACCAAGCTCATTTTCAGCCTCTTCGAACTTCTGGACTTCGGAGTGGGGGGAAAAATGCTGATGGTTGTTGTCATGGAGCGGGGCTAGGCGCCGAGATGCCAGCGTTTGAGAGATCGGTTTTATGTAGTCCGTCCGAGAAGTGTTTGGACTCCTTTCGGGTGATGCTGCTGATTTATTAGCTAATCCTGATCAAAATGTGCCTCTGGCTACCTGAAAAAAAATTACTTTCTTGCCACGGGTGATTAATTACTATTAAGTCAAAAAGCATGGCGGGGCTTTGAAAAATTAGGATTGTGTTTTGCTTCTAGGTTTTTTTCTTTCTTTCTTTCTCACTCCCTCGCCCCCTTTTCTTTTTTCCTCATCTAAGTCAGCAACATAAAGTAGAATATTAACTCAGATCCCCCTTTTTGTTTTTGGCATGGTTGAAGAATGGCATAAAGATCCTCTAACTTAGATCCAAGAGCATAGAGTGGCGGTATAAAAACCCCAGTCGCTTTCCAGAACTGCTGCATAAGAGTGTACATGAATTGATCCCTTACCCTTAGTAGATTTCACACGCAGACCTAGCCATGGGGGTATCCCAGTGAAGGATGTCAAGGGTTAATGGGAGCTGTAGTTTATTTAACTGTGTGGAAGGCGATCCCTTTAATAAATAAATTGATTTATATATATATATATATTTTAAAAAAAAACCCGTAGAGTAAAAACATGGAGATCAGTCATCTCAGGTGTAAATCCACTGAAATGAATGGAGTGGAGGTGTGCCTCTCAGCAACAGTAAAGAGATCCCTGTAGGGTGTTTCTGGATGACAGGGGAAATTGAGAAGAATAGATCTAAAGGTAAAGTCAGAGATTGTCCCGGTCCCCCCCTCAAAAAATTCCACCTCAAAAGCTTATGAGCTCCCAGGCTCTGTCACAGTCAGATTTCTGACATCCAGCCCAGATACTTGAAAGAAATGCATTTGTTTTGCAGGCACGTGTGTGTAAGTGTAAGGATCGCTTGATCCCTGCACAGAAAGGCTTCCATGGCATGATCTTAACCCTTACGTCCCTCCATCCCCCAATCCTCCCTCCCCCCCTCCTCTTCCCAGTGGGGCAGGAACACACACTCATCCTCTGCTACTTTATTGTGTGGTTGGGAGAGGTTTGTGCGGATGTTTCGCCAGCAAAAATCTAGGCAGTTTTGACCCACCCACACTGATACACACACACACAAACAGAGAGAGAGAGAGAGAGAGAGAGAGAGAGAGTCAACTAATCACAGTCGAACAATTTAGCAAGCCATCCATTCATAACTTCCCCCCCTCTTGTCTAGCAGCAGAGTATGCTTAAAGGCTGAGTTACTGGGAGACATAAAGGTTAGTGCTCTCAGGACAGCCATATTATAATGCATTATTTGAAGTCATTTAAGGCCAATTTTAGTGGTATTTAGTATAATATTTATGAATTAATGTAATCAAAACATAGAACTGTCCCAACAGACTGAAGCAGCCTTTCCTACCGATGCATACTTGTACCCAAAGCCTGGAGTGGGTTTTAATTTGAAGCACACAGGCCTGGATAATATTCTATTTAGGAAGTCAGAATAGATCTGAAGAAGTGAGGTTTTTACCCATGAAAGCTTATGCCCAAATAAATCTGTTAGTCTTTAAGGTGCCACCAGACTCCTTGTTGTTTTTTTAGAATAGATCTGTGTATCCCACTCTCAACTGCGATTCAGTGAAACACAGGCAGGTTAGTGCACTTAAAGAGAGAGGTTGTGGGGGCTGGTAGGTACAGCATTGTCCTGAAAGCTACAATGTCCTCTCAAATCGCCTCTGAAAAAAGAAAAAAGAACTCAGAGAAAACCACCATGGCAGTCACATTGTTAGGATGATGTACTCAAATGACCCAAATCTCACTCAACAAATCAGGAAAGGCAGCTAGCAAGATGCAGTACCCAAATATCAGTTTATTTCCCCTGTTTGCTATACCCTCTTCTCAAAAGCATGACTAATTTTGGAATTTCCGACACCTGGGGTAAAGGTATGTAAGGCTTATTTATATTCTCCCATGGGAGAGAGAGAGAGATTGCTCAGCATGATATTAGTTTTTAGGATACCTCAGAAATTCAAAATAATAACAATGACTATTAAATTAAAAGGCAAGATAGATAGATTATAAAGATTTTGGGAAATGAAAATTTAGTCGAAAAGGAACACAACTAAATACAGGTGCTGAATAAACAATTCCATGACTGAAACATAAGGTTTGCCTGGCTGAACACAATGCACGTAGTATTTAGTGCGGTAGTAAAGCAGACAAGTTTTAGGGAGGAGAATGTACAAATAAATTGGAACAAAAGAGTGGAGGCTTTATGCCTCCTGTCTGAAGAACAATCCCTGAAAAGAGGCGAAAGACAATTGGATAGCTTGATCTAAGAGAAGAAAACAAAACAAGCAAAAGACAGACGAACAAAAAACCTCAAACAAGCCTCTATACATTAACAACACCCCTTATAGATGTAGCTATATCTATGTACATTTTATGTCAAACAAATAGCCCAGGTTGCTTTGTAAATTAAAACGCTAGATTTTAACTTTGCAGTGGCCTGGACATCAATTCTGGTTTTGTATAGCATCTGCACCCGGTCCTGTTATGGTTGTTACCGTTGTGTCAGCATTTCCAATACAAACTCCAATTTTCAGGAGTCTCTCACTTGGCTGTTAAGTTTTGCACTTAGCTGCAAACTTGTTTTCCTCTCCATCCCCTTATCAAATGAAATAATAATACTTAATATAACATGCTTAGTTTATAGTTATAAAACGGGAGGTGGGGTGGGTGAGAAGAAAGAAAATAAAAGTTTGTAGTTCGAGGTGCTTTTTTTTTTATTTCTACAGCTTAAACCTACATTTCATATATATTTATAAACTGAGATTCTTCATGACAGTCAGTAATAACACGTATTACTGGGAAGAAAAACTTTTTAAGGGGCTGACTTATTTTTAACGTGAGGCCAACAGAGTAACATATATGGGCATCATAAAAGTAAAGGCTGTAATCGC